GATTCAGTTCTCCATACACATTATGTATGGGATTAAAAGAAAAAGAAAAGAGGAGCCTGCACTGATACCAAGAAGAAAAACAGTCCCCAAAAATAAACAAAAAACCGATAGAGAGAGGAAGAAACAAAGAAGACAGCAAGAGAGAAGAGAATAGAAGAAGAGATGATGGAAGAGAAAGGGATGAAAGAGATGAGATGTTTGTACTCTCTCCCTTCCCTAATCTTTGAATTAATTAGGTTAATCACTAAATAACAGCAAATTACAACTAAGCCCTTAGTGCGGCGGCTGGCTGATTAAAACAAGACAAAACAAAGCTAATACTAAACAGACCCATTAACTTACAGACAGAATATAAAACATAACTGTGGGCTATGGGCCATTCGGCCCATCTTCACTACAATTTTGTTCTTAAAAATCCAGAGCTTTTTCATCCAGCATCAACCAGCTTATAATCACCTTTGAGTCTCCTTCAATTACAAGCTCCCTTACCCCCCATCTCCAAAGCTTTTTGCACCCCAAAAACTGCAGCCTACATTTCTGCCCTAGTTGAATTCCCTTCTCCAATTGGTCCTGAGAACATAACCTGAATATTTCCATTTTCATCTCTCATCATCCCTCCTATTCCAGAGTGACCTGGGTTACCAAAACTGCTCCCATTGAAGTTCAATTTTAGGAATCCTTTTTCAGATGGAGCCTAGTTTCTTTATACTTTCTTCTTAAATGAAGATGAGGCTGCAACTGCTCCCACTTTCTCATTAAATCCTCAAAAGTGAACCACAAAAACGATTCCAAAGATTTCACCCAATGTGCCACCCTTACCATTCTACTTTAATTGATGGCTTCTTTACTCCTTTTTCTCCTCAAAAATTCTAATGTTTCTTTGTCCAAAACACTACTGCCCTTGTGCATTTCCACATAATTCCCCCCTTCTTTTTTGCCACCTAAAAATAGACAAGTCAAATAACTTATCCAAACTAGCTGGGGTAATCTACCTGCAATCAAAAAGAGCAAAGAACCAATCCCAAATACAGCAAACAAAAGGGCAAGATATTATAAGTGGTAAGAGGTCTCACCATTTGGTTCACACATTATGCACCAATTTGGGGACAAGTACCAATTAGGTTTCTTCCTTGGTAACAAGTTGCAAGTATAAATTGTACCACAAAAGACTTCCTAACTGAAAGCACACACTTTAGGGGGATAGAATGACACCAAACCTCTTTGACAGGAAAAGGTGGTAAAAGAGGAGACAACAAAGATAAAGACTTAAAAAATGAAACACGAGAAAACCCCAGAATGATGAGGAGTTCAAACATGACTATCCCCTTTACTTGTGTCAAGAAGGACTCCATCAAGAGTCTGTAAAAGAACTGACAAAGTCCCAGTTCTGAGTCTCACGTTTCTACGAAGACCTTAGTTCCAATCAAAACTGGATAAAGGAGAACGGACTATAAACTCAGAGATTGGTTCTCTCCTGAAAGACAAGAGAACACACAATGGAAGAAACACTTCTTTTAAAGGTAAATCACCCACCCAAAGGTCTTCCAAAATGTAATCCTGTTACCCAAGTTGAGAAAATACCTGATGTAGATATTCCAGAACCCCAAGAAACTCCATAGAGAAGCACAATAAGATCTATTAGATGTTTCAGCAACCTAACATTCTCCAAGAGCCCATGAATGCTAGGCACCACCTCCTTGTGCCACAGCTTTTCTATTTTTGAGGTATTTCCAAGGGAAATCTACATAACCATTTGCTTAAATGAGCCATGTTTCTTTCTTTCAATCTCCCTAGGCCTAGCTCCCCAAACTCCTACACAGATCTCCCACCTAATCAAGTGCTCTTTTTATTCTTCCCCCGACTCCCATAGAAAATCCCTAATTAGTTTCTCAACCCTCTTCACTATAGCTTCAGGCGTGATGAAAATTGAAAGGTAATAAACCAAAAAATTTGCTAATATGCCCCCCCCCCCGGAAGAAATGTAGTTCCTCTTCCACACTGCCAACTTCTTGTCAAACTTCCAGACAACCAGGTTCCAAAAACTAATGCTTCTAGGGTTTGCACCAAGAGGGAGCCCTAAATATTTCATAGGTCACTCACTTGAGCCCATACCCTGATTTCTTCAAGTCCCAAATTAACTCCTACAAGGATACAACTAAGATCTTAAATTCACCTTTAGACTTGATAATTTCTCAAAGATTCCCACCACCAACCTCAACTTCCTAGTTCCTTGTTCTCCCTCACCTGCATAGGGAATAACGATATCATTAGCAAATTGCGAGTCCCAACCACATTATCTCTCTTCCCATCCTCCAACACTTCATTACATTTAACCCATCAGCTCTTGAAATCAAACTACTGAAAACA